GGAGGAGGAGGAGGAGGAGGAGGAGGAAGACGAGGTGGAAGCTGGCGAGCCTGACGAGGCAAGTAAATGAGGCACCGGGTATCTAAACCGCTTTGAGATCGGTTTTCACACAGTAGGATTCATACCCATGGGTGGGAGACCAAAGCGCGCAGAGTGTGATCGCCCCAGCGCGATATCTCGCTTCTCGGGAGGAGTGACGGGGAAAATCATGCTCAGATGGAATATATACGGCGTGTGCATCCGTAGGTACACGAAGCCTCCAACACGCCTCGCGAGAGATTTCCCTTGTAGGGTCGGTACCCCCTCCCACTCGCTTCCACTCGTGCTCCCTGTTCGACGTCCTCTGAAGAGATGAGTGTGGGTATTGTTTTATTCCATGACATGATTTACTCGGGATGCCGACGATATCTGAAATTGTGTTTGGTGCTCTCAGCATGTATGTGCCTCCGCAGCTGGTGTTGTTCTATTCTTCCACCTCTTCGTGGTACAGGGGAGACGGTTGAGGGCTTTGTTTGTTTTGCCCCCTGCCATACACCCGCCACGCCCTCATCTCCCTTCTGTTGAAAACCCTCGTCTTTAACTTCTTTCAACGCACGCATTAGTCGGATCTCCGCCGGCGTCTACGCTGCTCGTCTACCGGCAAGCTGCTCTACAGGGGGCGAGTCAAAGAGGGCTCCAACTGCCCTGCGAACATAGCCAAGAAGCTCGAACTGCTCGCCGAACGCGAACCGGTCGGCATTGTCAAGATGCTGGCTGCGTCGAGCGAGACGCCGGGCGGATTGCCCGCCGTCCTCCGCGAGGCCGAGGGGCTCCGGGACCTGGAGGTCCTCGTGAAGAACCTCGGCGGGGACCTGAGCATCAATCTCCTCAACCAAGAGGGCGCGGAGGTGCTGGAGGCTACCATCGGAGAGTGCAACAACGGGGACGGGAGCTTCCACCAACCCGGTGCGGATTTGAAGACAGCGAAGATACACCGTGCGAGTCAGGCTGCCTTGAAGGTATCAACCTCCGGCACAAGCGTCTTAGAGTGCAACATCAACTACGGCGGCTGTGCAGCGCACGTCGGCGCGAACGGCACGAAGCACTGCGCATGAGGTTCGGAAATTACATCAAGCGCAATCACATTGGGCGTGATGGCACGCCTGTGGTGAAGATAGAGGTGGCGATGGAGGGTGGGATGATAGTGCTGTCTGCTCTGTCAAAGCACCTCTCCCTGGCGCCGGGCGACACCGACGCCCTCCTCAGCATCCTCGAGGCACGTGCGGCGCTGAGAGCAGGCGGAGAGCGAGTGCTTGAGTGGCGGAAGGGCGAGCTGGACCTGAAGGGTCTCTTGGATGAACGCACCGACGCGGATCGGAGGGAGGCAGTGCTGGATTTCCTCCAGATCCTCGTCACTGCCCAGCAAGAGCCGGCGGAGTACCGGGGGGGCTTGAACGCAGCAAAGACCCAGGAGATGGTGCAGATGATCGAAGACCTGAGGGGGGAGGAGTCTCTGGATGCGGTTCTGGCCGGTTCGGAGGAGATTGCAAAGATGTGGGGGCCTCGCGGGTACACCGCCAAGAACCGATCCGATGGGGGTGAGAGAGAAACCTGGTGTCGATCAGCATCTTCTGTTGTTGTTGTTGTTGTTGTTGTTGTTACGGATTAGCACTGCTTTGTGCTGGCGCCAACCTTTGCGAGATCGCCACTCCGGCCCACCTGCCCCTCCCCCCTCCGCCCCGAGGTTGAAAGATGGGCAGAGATCGCTCGCGACTGTTAGGGGGGTGATGCCGGTGTGGAGCATTGTTGTTGTTGCTGTCTTTGTGTAGGTCTTAATTACAGTCTGGATCTCGCTTTGGATCATGTGCTGGCGCCAAATCGTTGCTTTACCACGCCATATAGCCCCGGGACACCAACCTCTCTCCACCCTAACGCGCCCCACCCTTGCCCCGCCAGCCACTGCCGACCTGAGGCCCGAGACGATTGCGCACCCGGCCCACCAGCGCACCGTTGCGAAGGGCAAGACCCCGTCGCGGTCGAACGTCAACAAGACTGCGGAAGAGCGGGGCTCAACCAAGTCGACGAACGAGGGCAAGGCCGACGGCGGTGAGGTTTGATGTGTTGGTGCTGCTCCTCGGTGAGCTTGATATCATCGACGACAAAAGATCCCGGATGACCACTGCTATAGAATCGCTTCGAGTTGGCGCCAACCTGGTTGAAGTCTCGCCCATGTGTGGCCTCCATAGCCCAAGTACCTGTAGGAATGCGCCGATGGAGGTAGGTGACGGCTACCACTGTCGCTGTCGTTGTCGTTGGTGGTGTTGATGTGTAAGATCGATCTCGGGTGACCCCTTTTTGGATAGCATTGCCTTGTGCTGGCGCCAACCTTTGCGAGATCGCCATCCGGCCCACCTGCCCCTCCCCCCTCCGCCCCGAGGTTGAAAGATGGGCAGAGATCGCTCGCGGGGGTTGTCAAGTGGGACCAAGGCCTCATCGTTTCCCATGTGCCGAGCCGGGGCCTGTTTGCACCGACGGAAGCAAGGCGCCTCTGTCTGTCTCGTCTGCATCCTCCGTCGTCTTGATGTCACGCACGTCGAATACGCCGCGCATTTGTCTTTGTCCTCCTTTGCGCACTTTACTTGTGTGGGCAGCGGTGGCTGATGATCGCTCTCGTTTCTCCATGCATCCAAACCCGCAGGCAACGCAAGCTGGACCGGCCGCTCGAAGGGGCTCAACGAGGAGGGGGCCAAGGCAGCCTTGGTGGAGGCGGAGAAGGCCCGTGCCGCGGCGCCAGAAGAGGAGGCGGAGAAGGCGGGTCAAGTCGTGGCAGCTGCCACCAAAAGGGTGCAGCTGGCGAAGACCGCCAAGAAGCGCCGGAGTGACGGCGGTAAGTAAGATTGCCGCCGGCGTCGCAGTCTCTGTGGGCTTGCTCGGGCGGCGCCGAGGGTTTGTCGCCGCTCAGTGGCCTCCCCTGTTGTTACGGATTAGCACTGCTTTGTGCTGGCGCCAACCTTTGCGAGATCGCCATCCGGCCCACCTTCCCCTCCCCCCTCCGCCCCGAGGTTGAAAGATGGGCAGAGATCGCTCGCGGGGGTTGTCAAGTGGGACCAAGGCCTCATCGTTTCCGATGTGCCGAGCCGGGGCCTGTTTGCACCGACGGAAGCAAGGCGCCTCTGTCTGTCTCGTCTGCATCCTCCGTCGTCTTGATGTCACGCACGTCGAATACGCCGCGCATTTGTCTTTGTCCTCCTTTGCGCACTTTACTTGTGTGGGCAGCGGTGGCTGATGATCGCTCTCGTTTCTCCATGCATCCAAACCCGCAGGCAACGCAAGCTGGACCGGCCGCTCGAAGGGGCTCAACGAGGAGGGGGCCAAGGCAGCCTTGGTGGAGGCGGAGAAGGCCCGTGCCGCGGCGCCAGAAGAGGAGGCGGAGAAGGCGGGTCAAGTCGTGGCAGCTGCCACCAAAAGGGTGCAGCTGGCGAAGACCGCCAAGAAGCGCCGGAGTGACGGCGGTAAGTAAGATTGCCGCCGGCGTCGCAGTCTCTGTGGGCTTGCTCGGGCGGCGCCGAGGGTTTGTCGCCGCTCAGTGGCCTCCCCTGTTGTTACGGATTAGCACTGCTTTGTGCTGGCGCCAACCTTTGCGAGATCGCCATCCGGCCCACCTTCCCCTCCCCCCTCCGCCCCGAGGTTGAAAGATGGGCAGAGATCGCTCGAAACGTTAGGTGGGTGTGCCGATGGGCTGTTGGTGACACGTCTGGCCTCCTGTGTATAGTCTCTCCCGATTTGACCCGAGATTATGACACCTTCCTGAGCTGCGTCCCTGTTCAATACTCGACCAGGTGCAGCGTCCGCGGGCGTAAATCCTGAGGGCCGAGGGCCTCAAGGAGACAACGACTGGAAGCGGGACGAAGACCTGATGGAGCCGTATCGGTTTCTAGCTGGGGCCTCTGTCACTGTAGGAGACCGAAACGTCACTCTGCCTTCGATGACTCTCCGTTGTGAGTCACAGGTTGCGGGAGACGCAAGGCCCGTTGCTTTCCTCGTCGAGACAACCGGGGTGATCGCCGCCGAAGAGAGACAATGTTCTCGGTGCCGGAAGTACCTCCGGGTGGTGGAAGCGGACAAAAAGACCCTGCAGACTCTCGGCATCCAAGTGCATTCCGCCTCAACGTCCGGACGGCGCCGGAGAGCGTCCAAGCTGCGAACCCCGTTTCCTAACCTCGGTTGTTTTCCGTAGTGTCCGGTGTGTTGGCATGGAATGGTGGTTGCAGGTTGTCCGACTACTCGAAGGGGCGAAATTGCGACCTCCTGCTAGAGCGGAGCAGCGCAGTGGGCGCGATCACGACGCGATCCGGAGAGCACGCTTGTTATGCTTGAAACGGGAAGGATTTTCGATGAGGTAGATCCCGTGCGACACTACGTCTCTCGGCGATCTCGGAGAGTTTAGGATCTTGGGCCCATGATCATTTCCTGGTGTGTCTGTTGGTCATGCGACAAAGTTGTCTACGTGTCGGATGGTAGAGATGCTCGCGCCGAGGTTGTTTTGGGCCGAGGTCTGTTCAGTAGAAGTTCGTTTCGTGGGGACCCCGGGGTGGTGTAGCTGGCTTGGCTCGGTTGACGCCCCCTTGGTATCATGGATACGGGCTGATGTTGTGGATGTGTCGTGCGGTGCGGTCGTGGCGATATGACCCTTTCCCTCCTGCCCAGTCTGAGGTTTATATTCTGCGGATATGTTCGGTGATGTGGGGTTGCAGGCTGGGCTGACGAGTTTCGCGCGAAGAGAGCATGTCTGTGTTGAATTAGCACGTGAGGAAGAGGGTGCTGTGCGCAACCCGTTGGATAGAGTGTGCAGGATAGATTTGAGGACATCACCTGGATGATTCCGGCGACGCCTATACCGATGGGCTCTCCCCCCGAGGACAACGGGTGTGAATATATGTGTGGTGCTCGACAATGGAAAAGCTTTATGCATTGCCAAATTTTCTTGTGACAAAGGGGTTGACAACGCGACCTACGTTGATCGTCGTCGGTGTGTCAGGGACTTCCCGAACAGGGCATATTTTACAAACCCCACGCTCTGTAGAGCCGATCCTCGACTCCCTCGACGGTCACCGTAGCGCTCTTCTTGTGAAGCGCCGGCGAACTCTGCCCGCATGCCACCCTCACCCATTCCCCGAAACCAAGGCCGTGTCCTTCGAACACTTTGAAGGAAATTACAGCGTGCATGACTTTCAAGTCACTGAACGTGTGCCGATCGTCTCCATTCACTGGTAACATTTTCCTGACCCAAACATTGGCCGATTTGCTGAATCGTTGGTTAATCTCCGCGGCAGTTAGATGAGCTGTGTCTTTGATGCCTCGGATCCTCTCTAGACCTTCGAAAAATTCTTCGAACTCACACAGAATAGGAACTACAGTCTCAACCGCGCCAGTAGAGACGACAGCTACATGAGGGTTCCCCTCGCGCGGCGAGAATTCGGCCGCCCCAAGGATTTCCGGTAAACCACGACCGGACATGAAAGACAATGCACACACAAGTTCGAAGTAGTTTGCACGCGGGTATTTGACGATCGATGACATCAAATCGATTAACTCGGTTGCGTTTACCACAACCCCGCGCTCACACTTGGCGTCCAGAGCTTCCCTACGTTTTTTTCGTGGGAGGCTCTTTTCTTCCGGCGTAAGCTCGAGCCGAGAAACAAAACGTGGAAGCAGTTGCACTTTACGGAGATGTTCGTCGACTTCGGCCAGCCCGGTAAAGGAGTCCTTCCGAGAGTATACCTTGCGTCGTGCCGACCATTTGGCACGAAGGTCTAACTTGGCAAACATCAAGACGCGTCCCTCGGCCGTTTTGAGCTGCTTGAGGTAATTCCGTTGTCCCTTAGTCTTCTTCGCCACCATTGCCTCCCTCTTGATGAGCCTTTGCAACGACCGGAGCTCGTTCCTGACGGGACCGGCATTGTGGTTTGCGCCATATGTGTCCATCCACTGTAGCCTGACCTTTCTCACATTCTTATTCAGAGATCTCGGGTGTAATTTTCTCAATGCTTCAACGACTTCGTCTGGATCCTCGTTTTCTTCCAGCCATCTCGAACACGTCACAATAGTTTGGTCCATCTTGGGAAAATACACTTGCTCTGCCTACTTCATGCCATACAAAATAAACCAACATTTCGACAATAACGGCTACTTCTCTGACACTTTGTTTTCTGCTTCCTTCTT